GAAGCCACACCAATCCAAGGATCTCATATAGTTATTTATTAAGTCGCTATCTACGCAGTCGTAGTTCATGAAAGTCTGAACAGCGCTTGTCTTTTTTGAAAAGGCAAGCGGTAGGCAACAATGAATTAATACGTGGTCACTGGCTAAAGAATTTGGGGGATTGTAGATACAGCCAATAATTGCCTTTCTTTGCGGCGAGAGAATAACAGATGCAAAGCAGAAGTTTCCCGTGAATGAGGAAACATCCAAGTAATAGGGAGAGTGCTTTAGGTAGGATTTAAGATAAGGAAGACAACCACCCCCACGCCTAGTCGTGCGGTCTTGGCGGTAAAAATCGAAGTCATCTATGAGAAGGGTAGAGTCAGGAATTAGAGAATGTGTCCAAGATTCTGTTACACCTATAATATCAGGCGTCATTTCCAGAGCAATGGCTCTGATTTGGGCCATCTGTCCATGGTTTTAGACCGCATTTTCGCTGATATCTAAACTCGAACAAGGCCCTAACTTCTGTGGCCCCTACAGGTGCAGACATTTGATGGACCACACACCCTCACTATGACATTCGGTTCATGGGTTCTCAAATAACCCTACGCGGAACCTGTGACTTCAAATTTTGTCGTACGTCTCTGTTAGCCCCCATTTACCAGCATATCCGGCTTCCAATCGTGAAAGTTATCGTTGGCGAGACACGAGTATATTGGGGAACCTGTATGCGAAACATCTTCATCCGACTTAAATAGCTTGGGTTCGTTTTTGTTTAAGTCACTTATTGAGCGTGTGGAGGCCTACTCGGTTGACTCAACATGGGTGTAAGTGTGGATTCGCGTGAATATTTTTTTTGCCACGTTGACCAATCTTTTATAAATACGTGCGTTAATTTAGGTCAGAGGAATCCGAAAGCACTTGAAGCGCTTAAATGCCCCGAAGCACTGGATGCTCGATAAGTTGGGGGGCAACTTTGCCCCTCGACCGAGCACTGGTCCTCACAAACTACGGGAGTGCCTTCCCCTTGCCATATTCCTGCGAAATCGATTGAAGTATGCTCTCACCTATGATGAGTGCACTAAAATCCTCAAGCAGCGTCTTGTGAAAGTTGACGGCCGTGTCCGTACCGACAGAAAGTTTCCTGCTGGCTTCATGGATGTTATCTCCATTGACCGCACGAACGAACATTTCCGTCTTATCTACGACACAAAGAAACGCTTCGCCATCCACCGTATCCACCCAGAGGAAGCTAAATACAAGCTTTGCAAGATCCGCAAGGTCTTGACTGGGCCTGGCAACGTTCCTTACATTGTCACCCACGACGCCCGCACGATTCGCTACCCCGACCCTGAAATCAAGGTTAACGACACCGTTCAGATCGATCTTGCTACAGGAAAGGTTTTGAACTTTATCAAATTCGAGCCTGGTATGTCTCAATTCACATCTGACCTTTCCATCTAGGAAATGTATGCATGGTGACTGGTGGTCACAACTTGGGCCGCGTCGGTGTTATTACCCAGTGGGAGCGTCACCCTGGCTCAGTGGAGATGGTGCATGTCCGTGATAATACTGGACACCAATTCGTCACTCGGTTGAACAACATCTTCATTATTGGAAAATCCAACAAAGCCTGGGTTTCTCTACCGAAGGGCAAGGGCATCCGCCTAAGCATCCTGGAAGAGCGCGATCGCCGTCTGAGAGCCAAGCGTCATGGTCATTAAACTTCCCTGATCAAAAAGGAAACCGTCTTTTTCCTACATGAAGATCGTAGTGAGGGTCTAGTCTAGTCTGGTGTATAGTTTTAGCATCATCCGTCTGCTGACGTTTCTGACCCACCCTTTCGTTTGCCGTCGGTTGGGATGTTTTAAGCCACAGGCATGCTACTCAACCCGAAGGTCGAAAATTTTTCATGCTTTCCAGGCGGTATAGCCGGACCTCTGCGTTCGTTTAGTAAGTCCATTGAAGTGTCCAGCTTTTGAATCACCTTTGTATAGTTCTGTAACAGCTTGTGCAATGGCAGTGCCGGCCGAGCCCCCTTCCGTTAAAGTGCAATTCATGTGCGGCTATGGTCAAATGCCATGCCGGGGTTGGCCTGCATTGCTTTCTTTGGCTATTAACGCTCACTGAATTCTCTACGTCCTTTGGTCCCTTCTCCCCAACATGTCGATATTTCAGTTACCGGCAGTCAGCTTGTGGGCGTGTGGCAGTAGAATGACTCCCATGGAAGGCTGGCAGGTAAGCTAAGTCCGAGTGGCTAATGGACAGTCGTGGAACAGCAGCAGTACTGTGATTATGCGGGTTTTCGGACGTCCGACACAGTGGCCGTTCCATAAAATGCCATTAATCCACAACCGAGATCTCCAATGAAGCTGCTCTCCCTTTGCTGGCCAAGTTCCCTTGAACCAGACTTCTATATGATAGGGCCTGTAGCAAATGAACCGGGAGCCCACCTGTAACCGGTTCTTGACGCGCCTCATTAACTGCGGCCGGCCTGTTCGGACGCTTATAAAGCCACGCCAGTCATGAAACCCTAGGTCACGTAGTATTTTGACGGAGGTGCTAATCGTGGCGACGCCGCAATCGTCCATGTGGCTAACAAGTTTTTTTGATCTGTCATTTGTAATATGACAGTAGAAGGTAAGGCAGCTTCCTTGCCTAGTGCTTTGCTTAATAGTCTAAGTGTCACCGTGTCCTGGAATCAAGTAATTGCTCCAATCAGATGATTGGACTTGCGGCTCCACTTCTGTGTATACACAAATTTTGCACCGCGTGGAATTAATCAGCTTTGGCTCATCGGTGTGCTTACCGCCTTTCTGTCGTTCGTTTCGTCAACTCCTTGTCTGAGGTCGCACTAGACGTACTTCAGTTATGCGGACGAGCCAAAGGATGTCTGGAAAACTGGTTGCCTGTTGGGCAGGCCTGAGGATGCCGTCGACCAGTAGACTTAGCCGCGTTTAGTTTATCAACAGGAGCACAGCGACAGTGCCAAAACGCCTCAGTTCACTCGTCCCGCTTGTGGGCTACGTGCCGTTTGCAACTCTTTAGACTCGGGAACATTTCGCCAGCCCAACTTGACTCCGATTATGCTGACTTCAGTGGTTAATGCACTAAGGGCCATTCGAACCCCTTGCAAAGGTAACGTCAACCCATCACACTGGTAAACCTGGCCTTCAGTTGTTTTAAAGCCTTCGACGTGGGCGCCTCAGCTTCCACCAGTCTGTTACAGAGTGATGGGGATTTTACTTAGTGGCTAGGTGGAGCGTTGACTTCTCGAGCCCGTCCTTGGAGGAGGTTCGTTGGTTTGGACAGAACCGAGTCAATAAGAGTTGTACGGGTTGACGGCTGTACACAACTACGATTCGGGTGGATGTAGGCCTAACAATTACGCAGAGCATGCATGATCATGCCACTCCAAGTAAGATTCCACCAGCTAGACTGCGAACTATACAGTACCGGGAGCGAGTTGGCCTCTTAGGTCCGGCTTTCCACAAGCAGCATTGAGAATCGTGATTTGTTCATTTCTCCAAGCGAGCTGTATGCGCATATCATCACGACAGCTGCGGAGCAGGTCTGTAACGTCTTCATGAATTGCTCGGTCCGTTTCTGATGGAGGAAGTGTCCAATAGATGACTTGAGGAAAGTTTTAGGACGCAGCCTTAAGGTGCTCCCAAGGTTAGGGGTCCCAATTGCTCATGATGCTGTTTCAGGTCGTCCTAAAGCTTGCCTCCCTGTACCAAGTGCAATGTGCTTTCCCCCGGCGTCTGGGGAACTGCGGTGTCGACAATCAAGACGCGTGTTCTAAACCTTCATTCAGTTACCTCTGGTGGTGTGGGAGTAGTGTCGACCGAAATCACCTAGAGACTGTCCTGTTAGGACATGTCACATTTTGCGTAATGAACCTTAAGTGTCGCCCCAGGGTGGTCGGCTCGGAAGACTTGATCCCGAAACTGGAGTCGAGGCCGCGTAAAGAAGGGTTATGACGTATCGAAAACCCGTGGGGACCACAACAACTTTAGGTCTTAACATGAGTTGGACCTTAGCAAGCCTGTGAGTGCGAACATTGCTTAACCTCACGCATTATCTTAATACTGACCGCAAGTCTTAGGTCTGCGCAAGTTAGGAGAGGGCTTTTGCCCTACTGAGTCTGATCGTTCGGGAATGCCGCAGTCGTTTGACTTGAGCCCCATGAGGCCGTGTCCGTAAATCAAGGGTGAGACTTCCAGAAAGTGGAGCTCGCCCCCGAGTATGGGATGTGTTTAGTAGCGAGAAGTTTCACTAGCCAGCGAGGCTAATAACGATGAAAGCGCCTGCAAGGTTTGCTACCAGCGCGTCCTAGAATTTCACGTTGTCATGACGGGAGCCAGAAGGAGTAAGAGTCCACTTCGTAGGTGGTGCTCCTGACTAAGTGTTGGCGTCGGCATGCTATTCTTCAAATCGACCGTTGCACTCTTTGTGAGTTGGCCGACAGACCAATTCACAAGCCCCGTTTCCCAGTCAATGCGCCGCGGTGAATGCTGTCATTTAGCGAGGAACTGACAGAGAGTGCATGCGACCTATTAGCACTTGCGTGAGCCTGTGACTGACATTCAGACGTGAGTCTGAAGTTGGAGTGTTACGACCAGTATGTGGCAAGGTCAAAACTAAGCATGGCTCCCAGTCGTGTGAGTTGGCGTCAGGAGGTAGGAAATTATTCTGTTCCGTCAGTTGGCCCTACAGAATTCCCGTTCGAACGCCTAGAGAGGACGACCACTCAGGGAATCTGCTCTTTACTCAGAATACAGTCCAGAGAGAGCGACTGCAGTGGGTTATGAATCGACTGTAGAGTCGCTGGAATGAGACAGGACAACTTGGCTTTTGGCAGTGATTCGTTTTCTCAGACACCTTTAGTCTATGTTTTCGAGTTGATGTTTGTTTTCGATCTATTAGCAGAGACAGGAAGCGCCCTAGACGAATTGGACACCTGGGGAAAATCTCAAACGTCTGTCCACCTCATGCAGTGAGGTAGTATCCTCTCGTCGAACACACTGTCCTATGCCGTAGGGGGACCACAACTAGAAAAGCCACCGGATGACTGTCCATAGTACCTGATCACGGATCGGGACGATCTTGTTTGAATTCAGTTGACAGTGGAGGGGAGAAATTCTGTGCCGTGGATGTGCCCAATCCCGGCAAAGCTATTTGTGGCAAACTTGTTAGAAAACCACCAACAAGGTAATCACTCAGGCCAGCGATGTTAGGGGCCCTCTCGAAAAAAATCCGTGTGCTACGTCCACACACTGGTAAGGCTATTTGGTCTAAAAGCAGGTGTCGGGACTTCCAGATACACTTGTCAGAAGTCTAAAAAAGTTCGCCATCCGAGCCAGTCGACACCTGCAAATACGCCACTCAAAGAATGTCTCAATTTTACGCCTAGGACTTATAAACCACACAGAAAAGTACCAACTGTCAGATCCAACAGGTATAGTTCGTTGTTTCAATTTCTGACTGCATCGGCGGGAACGAGCATCATTTGAGACCACATCCTTCTCGGTTAGTAAACGACATGCTGCCACACAAAGTCGACGCACACAGTTTTCGTATATTGGACTCCGGAAATGTGAGCGAACTCACTGAGCGCGACTGTCACGTGCTGTCGTTGATGGGCCATCTGTGCGTTGCATTGGGAATTGACAGTGCACATGCTCCTCCACTGTTGCGTACTTCGTCAGGTGGGCGAATTCGTCTTATCCCATCCATAAATGTCACGCTCCTGTATTTCCAATTGATCTACAAGGGAGACATGTTCACCAAGCAGACTACAGAATGTCCCCGATCTGTTGCGCCTCAGAGTTCAGTCCATGGCCATCACAGGCAGCTACTTGGCAACCAGTAGTGATGCAGAAGAAATGCCTAAAAACCCAATGGAAATTGAGATAACCGCTTCTGCCCTAGTGGCCACCGTCGGCCAGCCAATTGCCAATGACGGACTGAAAGCTCAGCCTAAGGTCCTAATCGCATATGACAGGCTATTCAAACCTGCCTCTGGCATATGGCTGGCTGTTTAAGGCTAATAAGCCAGGAGTGAATACCTTAGTCCCCCTTGTCCTTGTACGTACTTCGATACTCTTCCACCAGTTAGGAGTTAAAGTAGTAGTTTAAGGGTGGCTGGAGATATTTCGGCAAGGCTCGGAAACGCGGCCTTACTATGAAAAAGAGGAAGGCAGTCGCGCTCAAAAGCGGAATCATGATGATTAGTGCTTTACGCGTGGCGCTCTGGGATGACACCGAACAATGTGCAAAAAGTGGGCGAGAAAGGGGTGTATTTAAGTGAAATGCGATGGCTTGTTGAAGTGGGTAAGAAAACCGCGGAGGGAACGGCGTCAAATGCAAGAATTCGGTAAAGGTGCCAAGATCAACAACAATGAAACACTCGCGAACATGACCAATCAGACGGAAGTCGTAGGCCGAATTTGTTCAAAGTGGGTGCAAAATGAACGCTGTTAATGACCGGAAAACTGCAAGTGCGAAAAATAACTTGGAAAGACAAGAATGCGGCTGTTATAGCAGAAGGAGCATGTGACAGAATGGAACGGAAAGTAGTCCGTTGTTTAACCGAACAGCGTGCAGTCCGATAAGGCTAACCCTAATTCTAACCCTAAAACCTGATCACTAACCCCAACCCTAAATCTAACCCTAACCCTCGAACCCTAATCCTCAATCTTAACCCCTAATCATAACCCTA